TGGAGCACTCACACTTCCAGATTTCAAAACTTATAACAAGGCTGCAGTAATCTAAGTCTGTGCTACCGTGAGTCTGGCAATAAGACACATAGACCTAGGGAGTATAACAGCAAGTCCAGAAATAAACTCTTTATGTTATGGTCAAATGATTTTTGACAAAGGCGCCAAGACTACTCAGGGGGGAAAGGAATTCTTTTCAACAAGTGGTGTTGGGAAAACTGGCTATCATCACGCAAAAGAATAAAGTTAGATGTTTATCTAACATCATATACAAAAATTAACTCAAAATGGATCGAATACATAAACATAAGAAAAAAATCTATAAAACCACCCACACAACGGGAGAAGCTACTAGCAGATCATGTATTTCTCAAGAGATTAAGATCCAGAATATATATATAAATAAATCTTCAACTCAACAACAAAAGCAAACGACCCAATTTTATTTATTTACTTTATTCTACTTTAAGTTCTAGGGTACATGTGCACAAAGTGCAGGTTTGTTACATCAGTAAACATGTACCATCTTGGTTTGCTGTACCCATAGACTTGACATTTACATTAGGTATTTCTCCTAATGCTACCCCTCCCACAGTCCCTCACACCCCAACCAGCCCTGGTGTGTGATACACCCCACCCTGTGTCCATGTGATCTCGTTGTTCAACTCCCACTTCTGAGTGAGAACATGCAGTGTTTGGTTTTCTGTCCTTGTGATAGTTGGTTTAAAATGATGACAACCCAATTTTAAAAATAGGCAAAAGACTTGAATAGACATTTCTCCAATAAAGATGTATACAAATGGCCGATAAGCACATGAAAAGATGCCCAACATCACTAGTCATTAGGAAAATGTAAATCAAAGCTACCGTGTAATACTTCAGTCTCATTAGGATGGCTAATATCAAAAGAAAAACTGAGGAATGCTGGTGGGAATGTGAAATGGTGCAGCCATTGTGGAAAGCAGTATGGAGGTTCCTCAAAAGTTAAGTATAGTATTAACATATGATCCAGTAATTTCTCTTCTAAGTGTATATCCAAAAGAATTGAAAGCAGGGACTTAAACAGATAATTGTACACCAGTGTTCATATTAGCATTATTTGCAAGAGTCAAATGTCCATCAACAGATGCATAGATAAATAAAATGTAGTGTTTACACATAATGGAATAGTACTCAAGCTTAAAAAGGAATGGAATTCTGATGAATGCTACAACATGGGTGAAACTTGAAAAAATTATGCTAAGTGAAATAAGCCAAGCACAATAGGATATATATTGTATTATTTTACTTATATGAGGTACCTAGAATAGTGAAATTCATAGAGATAGAAACTGGACCAAAAGTTATCAGGGGCTGGAAATACGTAGATAAGGGGAGCTATTGCTTAATGAGTACAGAGTTTTTGTTTGGGATAATGATAAAGTTTAGGAAATGGATAGTTGTGATGGTTGCACATTATGAATGTACTTAATGCCTTTGAATTGTACACTTAAAAATGGTTAGAATGGTAAATTTTATATTATATATACTTTATGCCAGTATAAAAACATAATGGGATATACTACCAACAGGGAGCAATATAAGGATGCCTATTTTCACTGCTTCTATTCAACATAGTATTGTAAGTTTTAGCCAGAATAATTAGGCAAAAAAAAGTAACAAAAGCTACCCACACTGGAAAGAAATAAGTGAAATGATCTATATTCACAGTTGACAAAATTTGCCATTGATTGTAAATGCTTAGACAAAATGCAAAATTTTCTAGAAAAATACTACTTAGTAAACGTAATTACTGACTGAAGAAGTAACTAATAGTGGTAATCGTATTATGATTACTGAAGAATCAAAACAAATTTTAAACATACTTCATAAGGAAAATACCTGAATTAGGTAGTTTTATGGGGAAAAGTATCATATTTTCAAGATATATATCAAGCCATTTTGTAAAAATGCTTCCAAGATGTAATATTTCTTATCTACAAAAATTCTACCACAGTAATAGTTTCCTAAAGAGAATTTTTCCTACCTCTTCAGGCTTAGATATTCTGATTCTCTTCATCAAATTTGTTACTCTTAATCTCCTACTCTACTACTGTGTAAAGCTGCTGATTTAATTACATGTAGAATGATTTTATACAAAATTGTGAAACACTGTTTACCATATCTCCTTATCCTCTAAATGGAATGCTTAAGGATCAAAGTTTCCATTACGCATTTGCTTACTGTTAGGATAAAGAATCGTGTGTGTTTGTCTCACATTTTATCAAAATGGCACTTTTAAATTTTATTTTATTTTATTTTATTTTATTTTATTTTATTTTATTTTGTTTTATTTTATTTTATTTTATTTAGTTGAAGTTACTAATGTCTCCAAATTGCAATTTTAAGTCCGGAAGAAAAGACAGTGAAATTTTTATTCAAATTTAGTGCATTGGCAACATGTTTTTAAGACAATACATGTTTTCATAACCCTAGAAAAATATAGCTTTGGGTTTGTTTAAAATCAGTGCTGCCCTATAAGAAACTAAAATCTGGGCCCAAAATTATTGTAGAAACATCTAAATAAAATTAACCTCTGAAAATGTTTATACATCCATCTATTCTTATCAGGACAAATACAGGACAACATAAATAATCTGACCTGAATTCCACATATGCTTTTTCTACTGTTTTGGCCTCTTCCCTCTCCATATTTTATATCTGATCTATCACTCAAATACAACTTTTTTTAAGAGTCATTTCTCAGTTTGAAAATTCTCCCCTATTCTCATATTTCAAGATCCTCACAGCCCTAAGCCTAAATTATGTTCCCCGCCACTAGTATTTCTTCATCTCTCTCAATTAACTACCACTAACCCTCCCAGACTAACTCATAGTTTAAAAATACAACTTCCTTCTGCTTTCTCCCAGTCAAAAAATCTGAAATCTAAAATCTTTCTGCCTTAACTCATGTATTAAGCCCAAAGTCTTGTGTTTAGTTTTCAAAATCTCGCTGCACAGCCCCACTCTCTCCATTTGACATTATTTCCCACCACTCTCAAGATGAAAGATTTCTTACCACCACATGTAAACATACTGTGCCCATGGCTCTCAACAATAGACTTCAAACCCTAGCAAGAGGGAGGGTGTGAGGGGGAAGAAGGTTACTGCAAAGAATCTGTACATTTATATATGGGGAATTTTTTTAAGAAGATAATAAAATACAAGCAGGATCCTAACATATGTGCTCTGTCATCGACAGTTGAGCATTTATTATATATCAAGTATTAAACCAAGCATGTTTCATAATAATAATTTAAATAACAATATCTCAAGTAATCTTTATAACAACTCAAGTAAGTATAATTGTCATTTTAAACGTAAAATAATTAAAGCTCTAATAAACGAAATAATCATTTTATGATCATACAGCTTTATAAAGAAGTAGAGAGCTTGGATTCAAACCCAGGAATGTCTAACACAATCTCTGGATACTTTATTATCTACCCTATAGGTAGAAGGGCCCTTGCCTTTAAAATTTTTATTCTTAAGTGTTTTGAGTACTAAAAAATGTTACAAGGCATTGGATTTAATTTTTCTCAGTTTTATTCTTTCCCACAGCTGTTTTCTGCACTACCAATGTCCCCATTCCTTCAATAAGCATCCACATCTAAGGCTTAAGTTTGGGTAAGCCGTCTACAGCACTCTTCCTCAGGCCAGCTTGGTTTATTTTTCCTTTCACCCTAATAATATGGAGCTAACAAACTTGCAATACATTTTCTAATTGAATTTAAACTAATTGCTTTATCATTCTCCATTTTTATTCACTCAGCAAGAGAAAAGGCATTATAGTGTATATTTACCATGTTCTTGAAAATGGATTATATATGTAAAGCTAAGAATCTTCAGCATATATATGTGTATATACATATACATATATATAATATCCTAGATAATTTCATTATAAATACAAAAATGTAAAAAGTCTTATAGACACATATTATATTTCCAGATAATTTCTCAGTAGAGATAACAAAGGGAAAAAAATACCTTACATGTATGTGCATGTGCACTATCATATATTTAATGTGAGTGTCAAGGGAAACTGAAGGAGTATTTGAGTTGTTTGGATCCTATATTGTGGTTTTTGTGAAAACATTGATTGTGACCCTAAAATGGTAAAAGATTAGACGGAATAACTGTGGACATAATAGGAAAATAAACTTCTTGTATAAAGAGGATCACCGTAGGGGCGTCTAGAGTACATGATGCATGCAAAAAAAATGGCATTTGAAAGATAATTGTCTTTCCTTGTGGGTCTTTATTCATTTAGATGCAGTAAACAAGGTCTTTATAGTTTCAGGACACACACCATTAATATTCCTCTAAATTTCTTTCCTTTGCTACTAAAGCAGAGGTATACAGTTTAAATGACATGCACTGAATAGAGAAATCCCGCTGTGTTATTGTTGTTATTATTTTTGTCCTATTATGACATATGTAAATATAATGTGTTGAGCTGGAATAGGAGATCTCTTGTCCTTGGTGAGGTGGTTTACACATATAGTGGCAGATTATCTGGAAATATGATATGTGACTATATACAATAATAGAAAAGATAAAGTAAAACAAAGAATGATAATTTATAAATAATTTTGCATCATACATATTATATACAAATGATCTATTTAGTAATAAATAAATAAATACAATTAATGTAATGTAAACACTGCGACAATTAGTTTGAAACCCTCATCTTTTCATTAAAAAGTAATAATAAACATGAGTTTTAATATTTTTTACTAAATATACTGTTATAATTTTTTACTATAGTCCAGAGCACTGAAAATAATCTTGTAAGTAAACACGCTTGTCAATACAGCAGCATATATTTTGTGCATTTCAAAGCTCAATGTTTACATACCTTATTTTATTGACTATAAGTTTATAAAGTTTAAATTCAGTATTTAAGGTGGTTTCATCTCCAAACACTGAAAGAATTCCAAAATATACTTGCTCACCAGTTTTAACTTTGAAGTGTCTATAACCTTCACAATAGCAATGGTTTTCTCTGTCTCCTTCATCATTTTCTTTTCCTTAAACTTGCAAGCAATAACCAAGAGAACTCTGCAAAAACTTCTACACTAAAGTGAACTTTGGTTCTTCTTTGGACTTTAAGACTAACCTGGTCTAGACTGTGATTGACAAAAGCTTGCTCACTGATGTTATACAGTCCTTTCAAGTTCCAACCAAGCACAGGGGGTTGTTAATATTTACTCATTCCTCGTCTCTGGAATGATCTTGAACTATAACAGTTTACTTAGATTGCCAAATGCCACCAGCATTTACAGACACTTGATTGAAAAAAACCTATATATGTTAAAAGAAATGAGTTACTATGCACATCCACGTCTCCGAAAGAAAGGGCTGAAACTAAGACCAATGGATGTAAATAATACACAGATCTAAACTCAGAGGCTAAGCAATCATTCAGCTGGAGTGTGCCAGATGATCAGATCTGTCTCAGACCCCTTCAAATCATATGATTCTAAAGTTCTATGAAATGGCTGCCTCCCTGAGACTGCTGGCACAGCAGAATGGGTAGGATAGTTGCATTGGTTTCATGCAGGGCTGGATTCAAGGCCCTACTTTGCCATTCATTAACTATGTGAACTTGGGCAAGTTACTTAACTTCTCTAAGCTTCTTTCCTCATTTGTAAAATGTTAATAGGCAATAATAGTCTCTGTCTCATAGGTTTGTTGTGAAATTAAATGTAGTTTTTCACTAAAAGCATTTTGCATAATTCTTGTCACCTAGTAAGTAACCAATGCATGGTAGTTATTATTATTGTTGTCTTTATTCTTGTTGCTACTGCTTTTAGTCCATTAAAAGTATTCCTGAATAGGATGTATAATGAAAACAATTATTTCAATACTATGCATGAATTTTAGTCATTTATTTAACATGCATTTGCTGAGCACCTGTGATGTGTTAGTCACTATGCTGGGTACTAACAACAACAAAACGAGCTACAGTTTTAGGCTCCAGAGACACAGCAGTAAATGAGACAGACAAAATCCCTGTCTTCAAGGGGTTTGCATTCTACAGGGGGAAGCACAGAATAAATAGGTAAATGCAATAATAAATAAGATCATTTGTGTTACACTGCTCATAAGTCTGAGGGTAAATAAGATAAGACATTGACTTGAGGAGTCATGGGGTAGGGTCTTCTAGTTAGGGTAATTGTGAAAGGCCCCTTTGACAAGCTGACATTGACTAAATATCTGAATCATAAAGAGGTAACCATGCAAAGATTTGAGATGAAAGCATTCCAAACTAAGAAAAGAAAGTACAATGGTTGTAAGATGATAATATTCCTGTAATGTTTAAGGAGGAGAAACGATGCCATTGAATCCAGACCCTGAAGTCAAAGGGAAGTGCTGACTATAATAAAGTGTCTGGATTATATTCTGAGTATTTCAGAAAATTAATAAAATATTAAGCAAGGAGAAACAGGATCTGGTTATTTCTTTAGGAAGATTATTCTGGCTGCTTTGTGAAGAACAGGTGTAAGGCAACAAAAAGTAGCAGGGAAGCTAGGTCGGAGCTTGTGACTATAGTGAGAGATGATGGAACATGTTTTACAGGAGGACATGATAGGAAGCAGTGAGATTCTGGAAATCTTGGATGTGGATTACAAAGACATACTGATAGATGTGGGTATGGGAGTAAGAGACAGAAAAGCAAAGAATGACCATTTTTGTTTGTTGTTTCACACCAACTAAAAGCAGATTTTGGAGGGAGGACTTCTTTTTGGCCATGTTATGTTGAAGATATCTGTTAGAACCACAAAAGATACCAAGTAAGCAGTAGAATATATAAGTTTGGCATATAGGGGAGTGATCTAGGCTAGAGATGTGTTGATGTTACCTATAGGACATGTATTGATATACGAGAAAAGAGGACCAAAGACTGAGTCCTGGAACACTCCAGAATTTAGACATCTACATCTATTAGAGAAAAAAGAACCAATAAATGAGTGAACAAATCAGAGAATTCACAGAATCCTAGATAGCTCTTCAAGAAGAAAGAAGTGGTCAACCATGTCAAATGCCGCTGAGAAGCCAAGTCAGGTGACAATGGAGAATTTGCTACTGGATTAGTTTGCTATTGATTGCTATTGATTGGCTTGCTATTGGATTGCTATTGATTGGTTTTCAGAGCCCTTTTAGAATTGTGAGGACAAAAGCCCTATTGGAGAGGAGAGAATGAGAGGGAAGGAAGTCAAGGCAGGGAGAAAATGGAGGCAGTGAGGTTTTTTTGTGTGTGTAAAGGAGTCATGAAATAGCCTGGTAGCCAGAGAGGAAATGTGTTTAAAGGGTGCTGTTTGGTTTGGTTTGCTTTTAGTGAGTGTTATTAAAGACTGATAAGTGCTGATGTTTATAATCCAGTAGATCAGCATATATTTATGGTCTAGAAGGCGCTATTTAAAGAAGAAAAGTACTTTGGAAGGGATTCCAGACATAAATGATAGATATGGCTTTAGATAATGAACTAGGACACTTATTCACATGGGAGCTCGTTATTTAAAAGAGCATGGAAACCTCTCCCCTCTCTCTTGCTCCCTGTCTCACCATATGATGCTCTGGATCCCCTTCCTTTCTGCCATGACTAAAAGCTTCCTGAGGCCCTCATCAGAAGCAGATACCAGGATAATGCTTCGTGTATATGGTCTGCAGAGCCATGAGCCAAATAATCCCCTTTTCTTCATAAAGTATCCAGCCTCAGGTATTCCTTTATAGAAATGGAAAAGGGACTAACACAGATAACCCATGTCATATAGTAGGTGAACATAATAATAAAAATTGATAAATATTTTCATTTTTGAAGCTTATTATAATAAACATCTGTTGATTTAGCCTGACTAGAATCCATTCACATTTGCTTAGGTAACAACTGCTGCTTTCTTGGTTCTCATTCTCAGTCTGGGCAATTAGTTGTGGAGGGCTGCTCAAGCCACAGCTCTAGGGTAGGCCCAAGACCCAGAGACATTGGCTTAGAAATAGATACGTGACAGAAGCTCCTCTGTTATCCCAGGGTTTTAACTGGAACTAAGAAGAAAAACATTTCCTCTTAGGTATCCCATCCTTACTGAATGTTTCCATTAGGATGCATTTGTTTTTGAGAACCAGAAAATCCTGACATAATTGGCTTATAAAATAAAGAAAAGAAAACTTTACATATCCATAGGCAAAATAATTCTCCAGGGGCACATAGAAGCATTTCTTTCCATATCTGTCCATTTTCCCTTTCCCTTTGTTTCTCTTGTTTTTCCCACTTTATCTATCTTTCGGGGAAAAAAAAGGCTACAGAAGCCCCATACATCATGGAGAAGCAAAAACCCTTCTCTTTCTTGAAATTATAGACTAAAGAAAACTTCCAGGCAGATCTCAGTATCCTGCTCAACTTGCCAGAATTGCAGCACAGGCCCATTCTTAAAACAAAGTCTGGCAAGGGAAATGGGGCCACCAGAATTGGTTTAAATTAATCAGAAACTTCCTCTTTCTTGTGAAGGAATGGATGTCTGAAAAAAAAAAAAACTAGGTTAGCAAGAAAAAAGTGTATGCATGGCTGGGAATAGGCTATGACAGTGTCTGTTCAATGGCTGAGAATAAAGCCAGCACAGAAGAAAACAGAGACAAATTTACAAAGGGATGCCCACATACAATATTACTTAGGGATTTTTAGATGGCATGAACCAATAAATTCCTTTCATGTTTAAGCCCCTTATGAGTCAGGTTAACCACCTGCAACCAAAAGTTCACTGGCTAATATACTTACTCAAAGCTTTTTTCTGAATCTAACAAGTCTTTGCTTTTATCTACATAAACTATAAAAATCCTTCAGAGTTTCCTACTCCTATTCTACCAGCTATTCTTGTACATTCTCTTTTTTCTCACTTCTTGCCTTATGTTGTTCTCTTAACTTGCTACTTTTCTGCCTTCATGTCTATCTCTTAAAATCTTAACTATACAGTACTTCATAACTATATTTCAAACATCACCTCTTTCTAAAGGACTTCCAAAAATTCTCACTTTCGCATGGTTTCTCCTTCATTTGAGCTGCAGAGCAAATCTCTAACTAGCATTCAAAATGAACACATGTAGTCTATAAGATATCAATTAAAACAGCTTTCAGAGACCACTATTTTTAATTATTCCTATAATACAGAAATAGATACCAAAGCAAAGGCAGGTTACGTGATTTGCATAATATCTGGACTAGAACCATGTTTAACACAAGTTCCACATTCTTTCCCGCCCTAACTCTCAGGCACAACTCATTGTGCTACGCCGTTATATTGTCATCTCTTGACATGTAAATTGTGCCTCGCTCAACCTGCAGTCTCATATTGTGTGAATATTATGCTTTACATATAATAAGTATTAGGTAAATATTTGGTTAATTGAACTGCTTGGTTTTATATGTGGATCTAAATTATCAATAATCTTTGGTTGATTAACCTCAGATATTTCTTTACGTAAATACACTTAGGCCAGTAGTATCCATCTATTTAAAAGTACATTTTGCATGTCAAAAGTATATTCCCAATGAAATTCATCACCAAGTTTTTACTGAGTAAACCATTCTACAAAGATTCTACGAAACAAGTAGATAATTTGACAGAGAATGTTTCAGTATACAATTTCAATGAAGTAAGTACCATGTACAAAGAAGAGAAGATTGCAGGAAATTAATATCATTTCCTCAAACTGAGAAGTTGAACATTGGTTAAGAAAATAGTATCCTCATGCTGTGAAATTAGAAAGGGATATATTAGCATTAATATCAAATGTATCTGGAGAATTAGTTTTCATGTCACTACGCTACTTGAAATCTGAAGAGAAAAAAGGTAGAGTCATCATTCTACATTTAAAAAAATGAAAACTACAAAAAGAATCCTGCAACAAAAACCAGGTTTTAAACCTCATCTGATATTTAGCAAGGAAAGTTAGTACTGGTGACTTGACTAGCACTACGTGTAGGTCCTGCATACTAGAGAAAAGGAGAAAGAGACACTTCTCTCATCAGATAGTCTACTTAAGAATTGATACAGAAAAAAAGGGATGCTTCTACCAGCATTTTTTTTCTAGGCCCTAAATTGAAAACATCCATCATCATATAGTCTAGCCTATTGACTTATTGATGAATACTCCACAACTCAATATAGTCAGAATTCAGTTTTTTAAAATTAAATGTTTAAAGTAACAATTCAATTGCAATCTTTGAGATCCTTTTTTCTCGTGTTCTCTAAAAGATTGTAAACCATAAACAAACCAACAAAACCAACAATAATCCTTCACAATGTGTTGAAAGAGCTTATATACCCTTTACAGATAACATTTTTATGATTCATAAATGAACAATCAGAAGGTGCACAGCAAGCAAATAGAAGATAAGACACTATCCCTTCATATTGCAGGAATTTGTACTGATTTCAACATAGAAGTATTTCTACATACTTTAAAGGAGGGTGAGGCCTGTTCTATCTTTTTCAATTTGACTTTAACCTCTGGCTGTTGGCTTAGAGGTAAATTTATATTTTTCATT